GTGATACCACCAAGCAACTCTCCGGGAAGTTCAGCAAGCCAGAAAGACCCGTCAGAGACAAGCAGGGCAACACCATCAACAGCTTAGACCAGATGAAAAGATGGGCTGAACATTTTGAGGAACTCCTGAACAGGCCAGCACCTCCGAATCCCCCAGACATCGAACCAGCAAACGTGGATCTCCCGATCAACTGTGAGAAGCTGACTAGGGACAAGATCAGGAAGGCCATCACCCTGATGAAGAACGGGAAGGCAGCTGGACCAGACGACATCGCAGCAGAGGCGCTAAAAGCGAACCTGGATGTGTCAGTGGAGATGCTATACCCACTCTTTGAGAGGATCTGGGAGGAGCAAGATATACCAGCAGACTGGAAGGAAGGTTACCTAATTAAGCTTCCCAAGAAAGGTGACCTCAGCAACTGTGACAACTACAGGGGCATCACACTACTATCTGTGCCAGGGAAGGTCTTCAACCGGGTCCTTCTAGAGAGTATGAAGAACATCGTCGACCCACAGCTGCGAGATGAACAGGCAGGCTTCCGGCAGAACAGATCCTGCATGGACTAGATTGCACCGCTCCGCATCATAGTTGAGCAGTCACTGGAATGGAACTCGTCATTGTACATCAACTTAGTTGACTATGAGAAAGCATTCGACAGCGTGGATCGAGAGACCCTCTGGAAGCTCCTTAGGTTCTACGGCATCCCAGAAAAATGGTCAACCTAATCAGGAACTCCTACGATGGTATGTCCTGCAGGGTTATCATGACAGCTGGAGCAGAGGCGCTAAAAGCGAACCTGGATGCGTCAGTGGAGATGCTATACCCACTCTTTGAGAGGATCTGGGAGGAAGAAGATATACCAGCAGACTGGAAGAAAGGTTACATAATTAAGCTTCCCAAGAAAGGTGACCTCAGCAACTGTGACAACTACAGGGGCATCACACTACTATCTGTGCCAGGGAAGGTCTTCAACCGGGTCCTTCTAGAGAGTATGAAGAACATCGTCGACCCACAGCTGCGAGATGAACAGGCAGGCTTCCGGCAGAACAGATCCTGCATGGACTAGATTGCAACGCTCCGCATCATAGTTGAGCAGTCACTGGAATGGAACTCGTCATTGTACATCAACTTCATCGACTATGAGAAAGCATTCGACAGCGTGGATCGAGAGACCCTCTGGAAGCTCCTTAGGTTCTACGGCATCCCAGAAAAATGGTCAACCTAATCAGGAACTCCTACGATGGTATGTCCTGCAGGGTTATCATGACAGCTGGATAAAAAACATCTGTCAAAATAAAAATATAAATAATGTAACTATAAAAGCTAATTTCCATTACATGAATACAAAGAAAAGTGCAAGTTCATGTAATGAACAGTTAAACACACATTTTGAAAACCAAGAAACAAATCCATTAAAAAAAACAGCAGAATTTAAAATGAAAAATACAACTGAACTTAAATCTTAAATCACTGTCAGTGTGATAAAGAGTCTTTTTCTCTCCTTGTTGATGATGTTTGTGTTTCCACTGAATCAGGCTGAGTTTCCTCTGTCCTACCAGCATCCTGATCTTGATTCAGTAAAGGATTAATTTCATGTGATTCTGCTGTGTTCTGTTTCTGGTTTGATTCATTGGCTGGAGCTTCATCAGATCCTGCTGCATTCTGGGTTTGAGACAACATTTTTTAAAATGCATTTTCAACTATTTCTACAGCAGTGTTTCTCAGTCCTGGAGTGTTCAGCACTGCACATTCTGGATGTATCCTTATCTAAAACACCTGATTTATAACTCATGAGTACTACATGACAAGAGGTCAAGAATTGAATCCCAAATGATGTACTATACACAATGTGCTCAATCTATCTAACGTATTATATTTAGAAGAGTAGTGTCATCATATCTCAAATAAAACACTGAAGACATTTTTCTACACAGAAGCATTTGCTATCTTTCAAGTAGAGGAAAATAACATTTCAAATTCTATTGACATGTTGCAGCTAGTTTTTTAGCCCCTTTTTAGCCCCTGCTGTTAGATGATCTGATACACAATTCATGAGGTCTGACAGGTTTGATATTCACTAACTTCCCACTAGTGACGTTTTAAGACTGTGTGTTCTTGTGGTGTCATCACCCAGTCATTGCTATCATGTTGTCACTTCACTTTGGATCCAGAGTAACTAGTCACATGATATTTACAGTTTAGGTGATTGGCTCAAAAATGATTCCAGAACTGATTGTCCATAAGTAAAAATGGCAGTGCAGCAGTCATGTACATCTGGGACTGTATGTGCCATGTGAAAAATGAACAGGATCATTCTCTCCTGGTATACAGACTTCACTGATCAATTACCTTAACTCTTTTGTGTCAAATAAAGGAGACAAACACAATCTGCAGTGCCGAGCTTCTCCAGGAGGAGGACTGAGAAACACTGATCACAGCATCTCTGTGGTTTTGGGAAAGTGTTTATCATGAATATGTTCGACTTATATTTCAAATTAAATCAAGAATAATTTTGACACTATCATAAGTTTCTTCATTCTGTTATCCAGCGGCTGGAGTTTGATAAGAACTTATTGCCTTTTGTATTCAAAATTAAACGGTTATTTTAAACAGATATTTACATAATGGAATATGCTGTTAGACAGCTATTAAAAGGAGCATTTACATTTCAATTAAAGAATAACACATTCGATGAATCCATTTTTAATGGACAGGATGGTCAGGAAGAAACTGAGCAGCTGAATGACACTCACTTTACCTCAGAAATCCCTCATCAGAGCTGTAAAAGTATAACCTGTTCTTATACTGTATTTACTCAATAAAAAGTCCAAGTACATAGTTATTTCAAATTTCAAATGTAATTGAATTAAAGTACAAGCACATTGTTATAATAATAATTAATTGATAATAATTTATGCATTTAGCAGACGCTATTATCCAAAGCGACTTACAGTGCATTCAGGCTATACATTTTTTACCAGTATGTGTATTCCTTGGGAATTGAACCCACGACCTTTTGCGCTGCTAACGCAATGCTCTACCACTGAGCCACAGGAACATAACATTTATTCAGTTTCCATAAAACTTGAGTAAAGTCCCTATTCTTCAGAACAATACTTTAATAACCAAGTATAATTCATTTCCATCTCTGCCACACTATTAATTATAGACTCTGGTTTGTGGAATCAGTTCATCACAGTGAAAAATACTGATGCTGTGTTCACAATAACGTGTGTCAGTATAAAGACTTCTGTCATATGGGCCAGAAAAACATGACGATAAAATTACTGAGTGCATCTATATAATATGAAGTGAAACTTCTCTTGATATTGCAGGCCAGTTTATTAAATATGATACTAACCTGACGTGACTGCAGACATGTTCTCATCCCTACGAGTTCAGAGACAGTGAAGGAAAAAACGTGCAGGATTATTCACGAGCTGCTCATATTAAACAAAACATATGTATAATAGATTATTCTTGGAAAAATAAAAAAAATAAACAAACAAACATCTTAAAATATCAGGCCTAGATCTCTGAATAAATTTAATGGAGTGTTCTGTTTGTGTTACAGAAGATTGAGGGCTTCAGTTTTGAATCACTGAACAATTATCATGGGTAATTAGTGACTAATAATTATTATAAAAACAATAGAAACATCACTAGGAAGTATGTTCTCAAAGACCATAATAAATAGTAGTACATGATTGTGAGGGAGTAACATAATGAGTGCTGTTCTCTCTGATATGCTGAATCTTCATTTATGTACATTGAGAGGAGCTCTCAGTCAAACATTACATAAAACGCATCACAGTTCATTAATAATTAGAAAATTACTGATAAGAAAAATAACTGATCATTTATTTCTTGAAAGTGACACTTCTTAAATACAGACTGTATGTGCCATATTTGTAAATGAAGATCCTTTGAAAAAGAGAGATGCCAGAACACATCATGATCAGAAGTGGATGTAATTAATTAATCTGATTTTTTTTTAGTCTAAAGTTCAGTTTGTACTCACAGGGTTCAAATACTTGTAAACTCAGCAGAGATAAAGCAAAGAGGCCTTCAGAGGAAAAGACGACGATTCTCAGATCTCCAACTGAACGATCGCCATTAACTGATGAAGTAAATACAATATTAGACAGTACTTAAATATTATCAAGACTGTCACAACATAATTAATTGTAATATTCATGTTTTTGTGAAATGCAACTATCTGAAAATATAGGTATGTATGTGCAGTATGTATTTATGATGTAAATGCAGATATAAGTTGATCAGAGTAACTTTGAGATGAAAGTTAAGAATAAAATTATTGTTAGCATATTATATGCATATACATAGACAACGTGAGATATGTGGAAAATATATTGATTATACACTGATGTTAAAATGTTTTTTCACTCACCTGTATTCAGTATCAGTTCAATCATCAGTGTAACAGAGTTCAGTAAAACAACAACCACTGATCCAAACACATACACAGGAACAACACGGTGAAGAGCTGGAAGATCAAATAATACTGTTTAATATCATCATTTAGACAAAATGAGACCACCTTAACAACCGCAAATGATATACGGAGAGGAAGTAAATCTAAATTATTTCAGGCTCTTTATTTTAAGTCAACGTCTCTCTAAATTTGCATGGAGTTTGATTTCAGTCATTCCTTCTTCTAGTAAATATCTTCACAGTAGAGATGGTATGAAACTAATACAAATGAAAAAGTAGTTTAAATAAAAATGACTATTTTGAAGAAGAATGTTTTTTTTTCATAATGACAATAAGTTGGTTAATTAAAACATGATAGCAATGTAACATTCATACACAAATATTCTGTATTAGTACACACTCGGTATGCTCTGTTATTACACAGTAAAAACAAGAAATATATAATAATATACCTGTAAGTCAGTTTCAACTGGATGATAATCATCAACATATATTATCATATCACCCAGCCATAAAGCTGCTCAGTGTAAATATAAGAAATTTACAACATGACCTTTTGTAAAGCTGCGTATTGTGAAAAGCGCTATACAAATAAATCTTACTTGACTTGATTTTTCAATCGAATGAGACAAACTCAACTTAGAGCTTTTTTGTGTAGTAAACACCAGAGGGAAAAAAATGACCCAGAAGATTTATTTCTTTAAAGCAACTTATGTAGGCCGAGTTTTGTGTATTTTTGCAGCTTTAGAGCCCACTACAGTTAAATGAGTGGAATTCACTGTAGTAAATATATCACTGTCGTAATTACAGTGTCTTGTTCTACACGTGTATTTGTTGTTGCCGCAAAGCGTTCTGCCCTTTTCGCGGAATTTCGTACCCGCTCACCAAACGTACTTATTCTCAGAACAGACTAATAGGGGGAAGTTTGGGAAAGAAACTGGAATGAAAGCCATTCGCCTTATTAGAAGTCAAAGTCATTGAAACTAATATTTCAAGGATAACTTACATGCAGTTGCTTTAAAAGAGAAAAAACAAAAGTGATCGAAAACAATAAACTATAGCTGATAGTAGAAACATCGCAATGAAAGAGTTGATTAAATCTGTACAGTACCAAAATCAAATGAGCGTGTGAAGTTGATAACTGCCCAGAGTACTTGCAGAAATGCAGTCATACAGACCCATGCAATACGATCTGAACATGAACAAAAATATCAGCTTTTATCACAGCAAATTGACAAAAACATTTATTTAAAAAAAATACATTTTAGAATAAATGTAAGATAGGAAGTTAGGAACATTAGTTTCTTATATTAAATGCAAAAAATATTATCATACCTTTTTCATTTTCCAGAGCTATAATGTAAAAAAAGACCATTCCAGCACTGACCACTAACGTGAGAATTAACCATGCTGTTCTCATGAACAAAGCTGAACACATTATGATTTAATTATTTATTTGTTTATATATATATATTAATCACATTATGATTTAATGATTTATTTGTTTATATACTCTATACAAAAGAAAAATAAAATAAAAAAACTTACAGTTCATCTTTTCCCCACATGTACGACCCCAGTCATATCTTGTCGCTGTTAGTAAAACTGGTAAAATTGTAACAATAAGGATTCCTAAAAAAGGAGAGATTTAATTATAGATACTGGGTTTAACTGACAGACACATTAACAGATGTATAAAAACAACAGCAACAACAAATGAAAATTATTCTCACTTTATAATGACTTTAAGTGATTAACAATTTCACCACTCATATTTACAGATCCACTGCAACACGAACCTAGTTTTATTTTCAGCATTTTAACACATTGTTTCTTCTTCTGACCTCTCTACTCCCTACAAACTATAATTAATTCATTCGTTCGATATATTTTATGTATGAATGAAGCTGTAACATCTCAGACTGCATCTGTAAAACATCAACTCAATTCCCACTATTTTATTTGATTTTATGATGAATATACAGTATATGAATACAGTTTTCTTGCACTCATTGTTACTCATAAATGAATCTGAATAGTTCATAAAGGTGAATTTACCTCCTCTGCCAGATCCAAAGGTGAAGAACAGGAGGATGAATTGAAATGCAGGTAGAATATTAAAGCTTATACCAACCAGAACACCGAATATAATAAGTATCCGTTCACTTAATTTGTTAATGAATCTAGCCAACACTGTATCAGAGAAAAAAAAAAGGATACAATGTTTGACTTGGTTTTAAATTAATATCATGAAATTGTATCATTTATTAATTTAGACAACGAATCAGTGCAGGACTAAACTAATTTCACTCATTTGTGTTTTTAGGTTCAGTTCTCTCTCCATATCTATCTATCTATATATCTGTCTATCTGTCTGTCTATCTGTCTGTCTGTCTATACACACACACACACACACACACACACACAATTGCTGACACCTTGTAGAATCTGCAAAATCTTAAGTGATATAGTTTTTATATTTGCACTTTTAAGAAACATTATTAATCTGATAAAGCATGATTTCACAGCACACACTCATCAGTGGTAATTGACTAAAATATTTATAAAGAAATACTTACAGTATATAATATAGAGGAGGTTAAGCAGAAGCACTACCAGAAAGAGGACTGGTATCACGATACTCTCAAATCCGGTATAACTTATACTTTTGTCCCAGGCATATTTAAACAGAACTTGAAGAAAGCAAAAGATTATAGTGTGATATGTTTTGTGTAACATTTAATGCAGGTTGTTGTATTTAATGTTGGCTTGTGTAGTTTATGAAAAAGATGATAAAATCACAGAGATTCAGCAATGAACATGCAGAATCAGTTAAACGTGTGAAATGTTATGTTTTAGATTTGCTGTAAATTGTTCACCATATTACATAATTTAAAACTTTAAAAAAGTTAATATGCGCTTTAATGTGCATGACAAATTACCTGAATAAAAGACAGCTGAGAAAACTATGTATTCTGCTCTAAAACTATATTTCAAAATCCATGTTTTATTGTTGCCTGTAAAACATTCAAGATGAAGTAATTACACAAATGCCAATAAAACATTAAGTATTTTTAATGGAACATTCATTCAACTATTTTGTTACCTGTGAACTCGTGTACATATGGAGCCGCCCAGAGCGCCATGAGAGGCCTCAGAAAATAAAGAACACAAGAGACTGACTCAAACAAAGATCCTGAAACAAAACCAGAGATTAGTAATTCCTGTAATAAGTATTTGAGTGATAAGATGTACTGATAAACAATCAGTAGTGAAACACTCACCTTCAGAAACGCCCCAGAGGACAAAAGCAAGAAACATCCGAATATTTGGACAGAAAACTAGAAACAGATGAAGTCCTACCTCTACATCTAGAGAGAAATGACAAAATAACTCAAATTCAGTCACATGGTAAATGTAGTAAAATTAAATAAAATAATTAAATAAAATTGCAGCACTTCTTTAAACTCGCAATTAGCATAATATGTCACTAGAGGGCGATATGTATGCAACAGCGTGAGAATACCATCATGGAGAGATGCAAAGCAGGTAGTAAAATCCCTCAAAATTCAAAAATGGGGACATTCCATAGACTTCTATAGTTTTTATAATAAACTAATTATAAATGCTATGCTCACCCTAACCTCCTCAGAAAATATTCTGCATTTTTTAAATAATTAAAAAAATACACAAAACAAAACACAAAATATGATTGAGGTATACACACAAACACAAGCTTTTCACTCTGTTTCACCATGTCAGTCTGCGATTTGTTTCTAATTTGAAACTGGCCAAGTGTTTTGTTTCTTCAGCTGCAGCAAGAGTTTCTTTCTCATGTCCTGCATCAAAGATGCCTTTGTGGTTAAAATTCACCCCAAAAAAAAAAAAAGGTATTCTTAAATTCCAAATATGTGTTTTGTTGTAATCTTGTAACAGTGATGAATTAATTATCATATTATAATAGAATTTGGTTTCTGAAGCAAAAACCAATAATAAATAGACATTTATTTTCAGTGTGGTGTTAAAAAAAAAAAACTAAAATCAGATAAAAGATTACTTAAGCCAGTTTAAACATCATCACCATTATTCAGTGTGGTGTTAAAAAAAAAAAACTAAAATCAGATAAAAGATTAATTAAGCCAGTTTAAACATCATCACCATTATTATTATTATTATTATTATTATACACACTCCTTTATCACACTTGTGATATAACATACTTGTTATACACGTACCATTATTATGTGATGTGCAGTAGATCAAACAGAAGAGCAGAAGTGCAGATCCAGATGCAGTAATACAGAAAATTAACATTATTATGTGTAAAGTAGAGAAACCTGTAAACACAGACACCAGTTACTGAACAGCAGAGCCGCAACCACCATAGGCGAACATCATATAACCTACTGCAGTCTATTTAGCCATTTATAGGGTGACAAAAACAGTGCTCGTCAAAATGATTAATATGTCAGTGTCAAAATAATTGAAATGGATAAAATCAAAGGTGACTAATTTTACTGTTTACGAACTAAACAGTTAACTTGTTTACAATAGAAATGTTAAACAAACAACAATATCCAGGGAAGCAAAATACTCAACATTTCTCAAATTCCACCATTTTTAAAGGAAAATAGTGATTCTGAACCATTACATGATTCATGTTATGTAGGCTTTAACGTATCACTGTTTTACAGTTTTTCTCAGTGGCTTTGGTGCATTTCTCAGATCATAAATGAAATTCTCAAAACTACTTGTTCAACCTCCACATCATCTAGTCACTTGTGCACATCATAAAAGCAGTTTCTCATTCTTTTGAACAAGTTGTGATTGCTTTGGTACATCCATGCAACTGATTATGTACATTCGTCTGCGGTTTCCTACATTATCACTTGCTATTGTCATGTTGCTCAAAATGTATTATATAGTTCTCTGTGCAACAGTCTTACCCCCCAAAACATCTAG